TATTTGTTCAAGGGATATTAAGGTAACATCAATAGGACTAGCATCCTTGTTTAAATAAATGATAGAAGGCCTGGCAAAACTTCGCAAAATGGTATCGGAAAGATTACAGAAGGCTTGTACGCGGTATGCACAACAATATAAATTGGCTAACAAATTTGAAGGTCCTTTTAGAATCAAGCGTAAACGTGGTTTTTGTGTGTATGAGGTAGAGGACAAGGGCAAATATAAAGGGATGTGGTAAAAATCCACGAAGTGCTGGAGTAGGTAAGTAAGTTCTAGCTTATCATATCAACCTTCATGATTTGCTGCTTATTAATTTCGATAGTACACATTTTTAACTACGCTAGTTACCTATGATCAATTGGTTTTGTTTTATGGAGGTTGTATTGTATTGGGTATTTATAAGTACCAAAAACCTTGTTTTTGCCTTTCGTGTTGCCACAAATCCATCAACGTTCAACTAGCAGGAGTAAAGAGGGCGTTGTTTAGTTGGTATTTCAGATGGGATATATTAACCACTCCCATAGCATAGTTGCCAAAACTGGCCATCTATTGTACCTTCATATCAGCCGTTGTAAACCCAGGGGCTTGATTCTAAATGAGTTTCGACCGTTGAAATTGATTTCGATGGCGCCTTGTGACGATATACTCGATTCGCTATGACAATTTAGACATGTGATTATATCGATCTCCTATATTCAAATTATCATGGCAGTGTCAAAATTATCATAGCTAACGGAATGCCAATATTCACATTTTCTTCTGCCTTTACTAGTTACCCTTGGTCAAAATTTGGTTTTGTTTTGAAAAGGCTATGTTGTATTGGGTGTTTATAGGTACCAGAACCCTTTGTTCTTACCTTTCGTGCCACAAAATTATACGTTTGGGAGGGTGCGTATGGAGGGCGGTGTTTGGTTGGAATTTTAGATGGGAATGTGATTTGCCACCTCCATAAAATGGTTGGCAAACACTGGCCACTGCTACTGTACTTTCACACTATTTGTTTTATTTGCTTCTGGCCAATATTTTGATGCCTATATACCATAAATAATTTAGTGCATGCTTCAGTCTGATAGTGCTATATCTTACCCCTCTTGTTTGGTGGCTCTTGAAGTTAAACTTTTTTTTTCACTTTTCTTAGTTCTCTTTATTACCTGCCTCTCATCTTTGTTGCCGTTGGGAGCTTTGGGGTCCTTTTTGGGTGCATTCTGCATAAGGCCAGTGAACGAGGCTTCCCATGCTGCTTGGGTAAAGCGCAACCTGGCTAAACACTCGTTTGATATACGTTTTTTTTGTTATCGTGTTATCGCTATGCTGAGTGGACTTAGGAATGTCTTCTTCCTTTTGATGGTGGGATGGCCGAGATTTGTAATTTTTAGTTATCTCTCCTTGTTTAAGTTGTTGGATTATTGCTTTTGACGTTTAGAGTGGTTCCTTTTTTAATATCATTGCTTAATTTTTTTGTTGGCCCTAAAATCATTTTTTCCAAAATCCCTCTCTTGTATCCAAGGAAAATTCATTAATTTTCCCTTTGGAAGGGGGGTGGTGCTACCGTTTCTTTTTATGATCGACTAAAAATTAACTATATCTTGATATAGTAAATTCTCTCTCTCTCTCTCTCTCTCCATCTCGTTAACGGTAATTTTTTATAATTTCTGCCGACCATAAATACGAGAGCTGAAGGTGACTTGGTGCTATTTCCGGTGCTCCAGTGGAGGAATTCTGCGGCCTACTACCCGATTTTGCGAGAAGTCTCACACGCAGTGCTTGCGGGTTTATCGGGTGGTGGAGATTGTAATAGAAATAGTGATTTTTTTCTTTTGTTCAATTTTTGTGTACCTCGTGCGTTTGTATCTCCTTTAGCGCCAGATTTCCAACATGTTTTACTTGTTATCTCTTTTCCAAGTTCTTAGAACAAACTAGGAGGCGCCCAAACCACAACCATTTGCATCAAAAATCCAAACACAAAGAACCACCTCCTGAGGGCTCACTAACTACGAGCAGAGTTAGGCGGGATAACAATTTACAAGAACGTTTCGGTTTTAAGTGTTGGATGGGAATTCTAGGAGACAGGAGTCTAGGCCCCATAATGTTTGAAGGGCATTTGACAGGAGAAGGATATTTGCAATTTCTTTCTCGTGATATTGAAAATTTCTTGGATGAAATGCCTTTGATAAATGAAAATGGCATATTTTATCAATAAGATGGCGCTCCGCCCCACAACACGCGGGTGATATCAGGATATTTAAATAATACCTGCGGGGAAACTGGATTGGAAATAATAGGCCAGTTAGATGGCCTCCAAGGAACCTAGAACTGATTTTTCAAAATCTTTATCGAAACTAATTTGCTTATTTAAATGTGTGGGTTACCCGATCTATCACCCCTCGATTTTTATTTATGGGGAACAATCAAAAACAAGGTTTATAATACACCGTCAGCGACACGAAACGAGTAGGAAAACAAAGTAAGGTCACCCTTACTCAATACTATTACACCAATGCATTTTCAAAATGTAATACGCAAAACAATTGAGAGAAATGAAATTTGTCAACAACAAGGTGCTCATTTCGAACATTTAATAAATTAAAAAGTATTAATTTATTGGGCAGAAGAATTTCATTAATTCTGGATTGTACAATTTAGTTAGTGCATTATTTTGCTGAACATTGAAAGTTTATTACGTTAATAATAAAATTGTTTTATTAAATATAACTATTTATGACAAACAAATCCTTTGTTGCTGTACTGATGAGCTACATTTTTGCGTTTGAAAAAAAACGAGGTAACGCCATAGACAAACTTATGAAAAAAATTACCATTCTATCGTATTTATGGCACACTGGATTAAAAATTACAAATATTTGGATGGTAGATGTCAAAAGGTAGCAAATGCATCATCATTGTACGCTGAATGTCATTTTATTTTTAAATAAGCAAACATATACGGGTGTATCATTTAAAATAACAAAGTTGGAGTCATTTCCGGCTAAACCGGAAGTGAGAGTAAACAATTGAATATGTAAAATAGTGCATATTTATATGATATACCTACATACCAAATGTCATTAATGTATCTTTAAAAATGAAAAAATTAAAGGGGTGAGCCACCTGCTAGGGACACCCATTATAGCAGAATCGATAGACATTAAACAACAAGTCGATGTTATTTACATGGATTTCGATAAGTTAAACAATCAGCTTCTTGTGGATAGCCTCCATTACTTCGGCCTCGGTGACTCGTTAGTCGGTCTTCTAAGCTCATATCTTTCCAGTAGGACGCAATATGTACTTCTCCAGAGTTTGAATTCTTGTATACTGCGTTTAAATTCGAGGACTATAACTTTCTACTGCAGTACCTCCCGTACCAACGTATTATTCTATTCTCTGCTATATTCTATATGCAATAATTATAATTCCATAGCAGACAGTTCTGATATTAATTTTGATTGTATCAGCAAGATCTTGTCAAACTTCAGTGACTATTACAATAGCTATTTTCTATGTTTGTTACATTTGGTTGTTGTATGTAAACTATTAGCTAAGTTACCATTATATTGCCCTGTAATTGGATTAGTCGGTTGGGCAATTATGCATAAATAAATAAACAAGTATGATGGGGATCAGCTCCACTAAGTCATGTGCTCTACTTGGAAGCGTGGTTTAGGTTAATATAACTGAATTTGTGTATCTCGAAATCCTCAGCAAATCGGTTAAAGGCACAAATCTCAAAACTCAACGGGTCTCAAGATATACGCCGTCCAAGTACAATTGCTTATCAGTTCCATACGAATTTCTGCTTCAAGTGGAAGAGTAGTTTTGGTTAATTTATCCGAATTTTTTATATGTTTCGGGTCTCGACGTCCTGAACAAATGCCCCAAAATATAGGCCGAGCAAGTTAGTATAATGTGGTGTCGGTTCTTCTATCTGCTCTGGAGTGGTGGAAGAGTGGTTTCGGGCAATATATCTGAATCTGTGAAATTTCATGTAACTTGGCATCCTGAACAAATAACTCTCATGGCACAAAACCCCAACACTCAAAGTTCACTCCCTTGGCGGTAAAATGATGTCTAACCATGTTTTCGTCCAGTAATCCTTTTTTGCCAAATGTTTTTGATAAAAAATATTTTGTGTAAATGTTTGGCTCTTACATATGTTACCTAAATAACTGGAATTTCAACAAGAGAATGCACTTGCGGAGGAACGACCACCGTATTCAATCATTTGCCAGGACTGTACCCATATATTTTCAATATCAATATCACCGATGGCTTGAACTGGTACGAACACAAACATCTCGTCAATAGCGGCAGCAAATGAGGGAGTGGAGTAAGCAACAGAAAGTGTTATATTACCTTTTGTGGTAGATTTTGACATCTGTTTGACGTTTATCAAATCGGTTTGTTAATACTTCCGTTTTCCGCAAAATAATATGTATCTAGGTCATTTCTCTAATTAAATGATTTATCACAAAGTTAACTGTCACACTTTTCTTTCGAAAATCACTAGGGGAGTCTTCTAGCAGTGTTAAAAGATACAGTTCCCCGAAAGGTAATAGAATCACTTTCTATCAGTTATTCTACTCCTCCCTCAACTTCAAGAATTGACTTCCGGATGATCGTCTAGTTTTGCCCAATTATGATTTCATTTTGAAATGTATCTTGATAATCCATCTCAAGTGCCTCAAGGGCTAATAAATTATCACTTTTAAAATCAGTGGTTTCACTCGGCAGCCAACGTATGTATTACCATAGTAGCACAAACGCCGAGATGCAGACCAATGTTCTCCTTTTCAGATATTTGCTGATACTATGCGTTTTTGTAAAGTACTTGCATCTCTCACATTTAATTTAATGTATTTGGTCGTTTGTTATATAAAGCTTACTTCCTCTTTCACTTTTCTGTTTCTATGAGTATGTCATTGTGACAAAATAATTTGTTTAATAATAGATTGATAGATTAGGTTGCAGTGAGTATTATGCACTTTTTGTTTCCGTAGGTCCAAGTTGTTCGACGAACTGAAGGAAAACGTCTACAAAGAGGTAGCATCACTGATATCGGCCAATGAAACTAGACCTCATTTTCTGATCCAGTTATTCAGAGATCTTCGAATGATAAAAGATGATGCCGTGAGGCTGAGGATCCTGCAATCGATTCAAATGGTGATTACGCATTCAATGGCACCATCACATAATCCCAACCGACTAGTAAGTTTCATTGTTCTATTTCAAGAAATCCTCAAGTGAAGGTCAGAAGTATTGTACCAAATAACATCATAACACAAGAATTGAATATACAGGATACCCCTTAAAGAGTGCACTAATGAAACTCGTCTTGCAGTGGTGCATATTTCATGTTCTTTTGGCAAAACTACTTTATACATTCAATTTTTTTTTTGACACGTTCTTTGAACTAGTTTTGCATCTAGCTCTAAATTATCGCTCGATCTGAAAGAGCTCATGCTAATGTTGTCAACTGTGACTGGTGTTTTTGCATGCAACCATGCTTTTTAGTCCAAGAAGCATCTTTGCATCTTCTCGGAAAAATATTCTGATTCGCTGTTCTGCATGTTGCCAGGTCTAAAATTGCGTCAAAAATTGTTTAGACATTTTTTAAAACAAATTCCAAACATTTTTTTCACTCCGGAGGAAGTTTGATTGACGTCGTAATGTGTACGAGAGAGAAGCCCGAGAAGCGTGCAATATGTATCTTAGAAAGAGTGACCCGATGGCGCCCGTGACCTCGTACTCTAGCCTATAATAACAACACGTCAAGTCAAGCATTTGTTTGCAGCACCTACATAAGAAAAATAAAAAAACAGTAAATACGCATTTTCCCTTCTAACTAAGAAAATAAATGTATACTACCGCTCAAATATTTTGGGACAGAAACTTTTTTTAAGAGACCTTAAAATAAATAAGGCTTATATGACGTTGATTGATTATTACCCTCTATAATACGACTATTCAAGCTGAAGATGTATAAGAATCAGTCAAAAACCACTTAAAAGGGAATAAATGTAAACATCTTTAGAGACGCCGATATTTTTGTTAGTTCATTGAAGTCATAAATCGGCCGATTTCCTTCCGCTGCTTACCTTTTTTTGTACTATGTATTATGTTCGGCGTAATGTGATACATAAATATTCTGCATATCAATGAAACAAAGTAAATATTGTACGTAGTTTAGCATAAACTATAGTTGATGTGCTAGGGTCAGATTTTTCAAAATAATGGAAAACGGTAAAAACAAGTAACGTTTTTCTTCAAAAAACGGGGTGTCGTATGTACCTTACGTGATCAGGGATTGCCAATTTGAGCGAAAAGCGGCATTTGAAACGTAACACTGTCTCAAATTTTTAGAGAGAGACAACAGGCAGTGTCGTAGATCGTCCACGCTCTGGAAGACGCAGAGTTACAACTGTTCCAGAGGATAGGTTTATAGTAATAACAAATAAGCGAAATATACATTAAACTTCGCCTGAACTCACACACAGCTTGAACAGAACGAGGGAAAACCCTGTGTCCATGTCCACGGTAAAACGCCACTTACAAAGGGCTAACCCTAGACGATGTGTAGCAGCATGCAAACCACTCCTGCGACCTATACATAAACTCAACCGGTTAGCATGGACTCGAAGACACAAGGCTTGGACCACTGATGATTGGAATCGGGTCCTTTGGTCGGATGAATCCAAATTCGAAATGTTCGGATCTCGACGACAGTTTGTACGCTGCCAACCCCATAAACGCATGGCTCTGCAATGTTTGCAGCCCACTGTTAAACATGGAGGTGGGAGTGTAATGGTTTGGGGCTGTTTTGGTGGAAATCGAACAGGAGATTTGGTTCGTATTGAGGGTATAATGCGAAAAGAGCAGTATATGGAAATATTGGAAAACCACGCTGTTGCCTCAGGACAAAGGATTTTGGAAACAATTTCGAATTCCAGCAAGACAACGACCCTGAGCATTCATCTCGACTATGCCGCAATTAGTTAGACCTGCAGCAAGAACTTGGTGCAATGAAAATCACAACATGGCCTTCCCAGTCCCCAGATTTGTCTCCTATTGAGTATTAGTGGGATGAATTGGACACACAGGTGAATCAACAAGAGCCTACTAGTGCAGGAAGCGTGGGTATCCTTATAACCAACTATTCTTGAAAATTCGATACGTCGGATGAGTCGTGTCTGTCATGCAGTTATTCGGGCTCGTGGTGGGCATTTCGATGAATGACGAATTTAAAGTAAATTTTGATAGAAATAAGTTACCAACTAACTGAGTTCCAGTGGAAAATAGTTCATTTCTTATTTTTTTGATTAAACACACTCAATTGTTTGATTTGGTTTGATTTTCGTCAGAAAATCTGCTGTCCCAAAACTTTTGAGCGTAATGTATATGCAGGGTGTACTTTTTTCGGACCGTATAAAACAATTGTTGATGGTTTCTCAAAAACGAACCGTCGGCCACACAATTTGAAAAACACCATCAAGTAGTGACTAAACAGTGCCAATGGAGAAGTTTTTTGATATGCCTAAAAATAAACAAAAAAAAATGAAAATGATTTGGTAAAATTTTAGTTTTACCCAAATATTTCTGTAAGCCATGGCATTTTTACAAGTTTCTCAACGGCATGTGAATATTCGGCATAGAATGCAGCTTTTTCCTATTTTAACCTAAGCTGTATCACCCACAGGTATTGAGATCCCCATGCATAGGATCCTTATCTTGGACACCCTGTATAGATTGTGGGTGAAGAATAAGATTATTGTTTTCAACTAGTACATACACTCAAACATCAACAAAGGGTGAAAAATAAGATTATTTTCTCCAACTTAGTCTACACACTCAAACATCAACACTCTGTATCTTATTAACGACCGACATTTTATTAAGTCATATTTGGCACAATATCATTACTATCACAACTTCAATCTAGGTTTGCTTCAGGAGAGTTCGACTGATATAAATGTTGCATAGTATAGTTGTAGTCACCGTTCTTGGCGGTTACGACATCAACGCTATATGAAATAAGTAAACAGATCGAGTCTCCGTACCATGGGCGTATCTTAATCTTCAGCGTATCTACTATACTCTCCAGTACGCATGGAGTGGGTAACAGGGGACCGCTGTTTTCATTCTCTTCCTGGAAATACTGTAATAACTTTAGCACGAGCTGTCGGCCTTCTCCATTGATCGAATTTCCGGGCATTGTACAATTTTATATTGATGATTGATGAAACAGGACAACTCAAATTGTCACTCTGACAAATATGATTGAAGGGCACTCCTACCTAACTTCAAAGTTCTCGAGACAGAGACACACAATTAAAAAACGAATGTCTTTGAGCTTACCAAACAAACGTTCACACACAGGGGTAGGTTGCATGTGTATGTATGAGGGAGATGGAGATATATAAAGGGATACTGGTAGTCTTATTTTGACCCATCAAGAACGGTGACTACAACTATATATTATTTGTTTTTAGTCCACAGAATGTCAAACGGCCTCCCAAAGGATAAACGAACAAGCCAGCCAATCAGAAGAGAGCTTCCCACTCCTAGCTACTATGTGGTCCAAATCATTAAAAAAACATGTATGTAATGTAGATTGTATTTGTTGGTCACACTCTTTCGTTATTAGTTATGTGGGAGCTTATACCATAACTCTCCTATCAGTGTTGTTAAACGCCCGCCAACATAGATAAGGTAAAGAACTGCAAAAATGGAGGTATAGAAATAAATGTTCAAGACTCTGTTCAGAAGAATGTTCAGACCCAGCATTAAGATAGTTGGATATCGTTCGGAGAATAAAGTTACCGAAAAGACACTTCAGAAAGAAATTATAAGGCAGAATCACTTTGTAACAAATAAATACATATCCATTACATACATTAAAAAATAATCTTACGCACAAGAAATTTTACATTATTTTTGCTGAGGTAACATGTAAATTATTCCGTTACATTGTCGATAATAACAATGGAAAAAATTTGCTGGGATTTCAAAACATTTCTGTTTATGACAATACTGACGTAGGGGAGACTCGGGCAGAAGGAACCACTTTAAGTTGTCAACTTTTTAAATCGTTTACTAAATTCTAATTATTATTATTCTTATGGGCAATAAAACTCTATTACATTTAGAAACATAATATAATTATGTTACGAATATATAATTATTGTAATATATCTTAAAAAAACATTAAAACAAAAGTTGCTTTTGATTCCTTTTGCCCACATATGAGGGCAAGAAGAACCAATGCCTTGGGCAAAAGGAATCAGCATATGAAATACATATGGGCAAAAAGAACATTACTTCAAACATAACTAAAAGTAGAATTCTATTAACAATTCTTTATTTCAAGGAACTCAAAACTGATAACTTGCATTTGTCGCAAATATAGACACCTCTGTTGTAATCAGCACATAATTGATGAGCCCAGTTTTGACACATATTGCACTCAATCCATGTTTCGCCAGGTCTAGAGTTGCCAAAAGTATCTCCACAGACGAGGCATGGTACATTTTCTTAATTGGGGTCCGTTTTATGTACCGGTGGCTTCGGGTACTGCAATTTAGGTCGATCCAAATTTGAACTGCTAGGTTTCTTTGCACGTTTCATTTCATCTGGCAATTTGGTCTTGGGTAATTTTTCATTTTTCTGATTTCTCAACTGTTCTCTAATAGGTGTAGATGTTAAAATTTCTGACTTCTGTGTTCTACGTTTTCTTTTAGAATCATCCTGTTTAACTATTGGCAAAGGCTGAATTGCAGTTAATGGTATAAAATAATTTGAATTTTCGTAAGTGGATTGGAAGGAGCACGATGGAATAGGAGAAGAACGATTCTCTTTCCCATGATTCTCATTTTCAAGAGAGCAGAGAGATATAGGCGAATGAGGAGGTGTGCGATGTTCGACGTTACGCTGTGAGTCTTCAGCAACTTCATGCCTCGAACATGCCGGAATAGGTGAACTTGGAGATGCAGATTGATATTACTAGCGGCAAGGTTTTGAGCCTTGTTGGCATCATATTCCTTTGCTGTGACTTGAGAAGGAACAAAATCCAAGTCACTAAAAACATCAATATTGCCATCGAGTATTCCTGTCTTTTTGAATCCACGTATTGCATTTTGACGAGTAGCTTCTTGTAAATAAGCAGATCCAAATATTGCTCCTAATTCGTAGAAAGTAATATGTTGTGCAGGATGTTGCTTTTGCCATTTATCAACCTCTCTTTCAAAATATGTTCCAATGGGCCCATATACCGCAACATCAAGCGTAACACCTCCAAAGATCGATGTGAAATATGATTATCCAATATAAGTAAACATTTATGTTCTGGAGATGGTCTAACAGATTTTACAAAAAATTTCATCCATTCTAAGAAGATCTCACTAGTTATCCAACCATTGTCGCTTACAAAATCTACAGTTCCAGGTGGAGTGCCATTTAAGTATCTTGGATTTCTCTTCTTCCGGGGAAATATGAGTGCCGGAGAGATAAATTTTCCAGTAGCGGAACAGCAACATATGGCGGTTACCAGCTGCCCCCTCTCGGCCGATGAAATTGAGCCCACTTGTTTTTTTCCCTTCAAAGAGATAACTTTTGGTGGCCGCTTTGCAGACGTTTGAATACCGGTCTCGTCCACGTTGTATATGTTGTCCACATCGAATAAATATTTTTGCCGAATGTTATTTAGATTATCAAAAAATAACTGCACTTGTGGCCTGTTAAATCCACAAGCCCGGGCAATGCTTGTAGATTCTGGAGTTCTAAGGCTTAATTCGGGATGTCGCCTCATAAAATTTGAGTACCATTGCTCCCCAGCTGATCCATTACGAAAATTATGTGGCACATTATTTCGAGTTGCGAACTCGAATGCTAAACTGCATAAGTCTTAAACGCCCCATAAAAACGGGCGTCCATTTCTTGAATATGTTGTACAAGTTGCTGTTCCATATCGCCAGAAAAAACTGGTCTAAACCGTCCTAATTGTTTTTTGGGAGACTGCTTCAAAAAATGTTTTCGTAAGGGATATGGAATTCGAAACTGCAGAGCGGCACCGCGAATAGATGTTCCTTTTTGGTTAATCGCATTTATTGCGCGATTCATTATATTTTCGTCCCATCCTTGGGCTCTCTCTGTTTTTCGCTTATAATTGAAAACCATTATTCTGAAACAATATTCAATTTTGAAAAAAAATCAATGTTCAACGAAATAGCGGGAAAAAGGAGCCGGGCAAATAGAACCGGTTCTTCTTGCCCGGTTCTTCTTGCCTAAAAAGTATGCAACACAAAATACCTATTCGTTATGAATGTCAAACGCTTGAACAGCGCCACAATTTGTGAGGTTAGAGTCTACGCAAAACTTCATTTATCGCCACAAAATTTAATGCTTTAACTTATAACAATACTCAAATAATTTCCATCTATTTAAACTATGATCAACAATTCAGGACTGATACATTTTCTAAATTGGCTGTAAAAACATGAAAAATAAGCTTACCGGTATGGGTATCCAAACAAACACTGGAGAAACGCGGTACCTGCCAGAAGTAAATAGGAGATAGAGGCGGGAATTTTGAAACAAAAAAAATTTGAGCTGGTTCTTTTTGCCCATATGGTTCTTTTTGCCCGAGTCTCCCCTATACCGCTGCAAAAATTGTTTGAAATTCAATCTTTCTACTAAAAAGTGGCAAAATCGTATAGTGTGCTTTAAATGTGAGGAAATTGTTTCAAGAATATTATTTTAAATTCACTTGTATGAATATCTATTTATTCATTTATTTTTAATTTCACATCTCAATTATGAAAGAAAACAAATATTTTAAATTTGGTCACGTAAATATTCGTTCACTTTACCATCTTTTTCTGATTTTTTCTACTTGTTACAAAATTCCGACTATGATATCTTAACATGGCTCAATAAGAATATCCTTGGTCTGTTGAGTATTCCAGGGTAGACATTTTATCGAAAAGATAGAGAGAACAGGGGTGGTGTGGGCATTTACGTGAAAGGTGATTTGGTTTAATCATATTGGCTATTTTTCCAGTATTGAAAATCTATGGATTAATTTGAAAATATTTGGTCTAAGTATAGCTTTTGTGGCAATTTACCATCCTCCCCACAATGATATTAATGATGATATTGACTTTTTTGACAATTCTCTATCTCTTCTGATTACCAGCTTTGATTATATTGTTGGAGGTTTGAACGTAAATCTTTTAAATCCAGACAACAAATTACAAAACTGCTTTGATGGATTTGAATTCCATCAAATTATTAGTGAGCCCTCTAGAATAACCACTAGGTCCAGACTGACTGTCGAATGCGGAGGTAGCACCCGGCGGTTCCCGTATTCGGAGCCAGAATGTGTGCATGTTGCATGCACACGTGTTCCCTCGCCAGAGTCCGTGTGGCGTCCCCCCCTTTCCCATGTATCCCCCTATAGCCCCACGGTACCCAATGGGTGCTTAGGCCCTAGGCCTTCGTGGTAGTTGGAATATAAAAAAAAGGTTACTAGATCCTATTTTTATAAGCGACTCTCAAGCCTGTTCAAATTCGGTAATTATAAAGATGGAGTTTTACACTGATCATTGCTTGGTTTTCTGTGAAACAATTTTGCAGACGAACAAGTCAAAACAAAAATTTGTTAAATATAGAGAATTTAAAATTTTGAAATTGATGTTTTAAACTTCCCTTGGGACATTTTATATTCTCTGGATGACATTGACCACAAAATTTCATATTTGACCGATGGAATGAATTTATTTTTGATAGACATGCCCTACTAAGAATCCTACGTGTAAATAAGGCACGTGCACCCTGACTGATAGATGTAGAGATAGATCTCTTACACAGTTTAAAATTCATAAGACTGAAGAATCTTGGAACCGCTACAAAAATCTTACAAATGCAACATTAGCAAAAATTAGATGTGAGAAAATAGCCTATCATCCCTCCGTTAACAAAACAACTGTTTTACTAATCCTTAATACCTATAAAAATAGTGATATTCCTTTGCATTTAAGAGACCCAGTTGATATCAATCATTACTTCTGCTCAGTTTTCAACAACCCCATTTCTTCATGCACTGAATGAGCATTATGGAAAAAATCGACATGGATGATTTAAAATCGATATTTCAATTTTTAAAATCGAATACCATAAATCTTGCATATCGTCAATACATGTTTAGCAAAGGGGGCATTTCCCAAATCATGGAAGTAATCACTAGTATTACCCAGCGCTAAAATATATCAGTATTTTACCCGTACTATCCAAATTACTAGAAAAAGCAGTGTACAGTCAAATCAATGATGACCTATCAAAATCTTACATATTGCCTTCCAAACAATGCGCGTATTGGATGAGATGATGAGATGAATATAGTACCGCAGGTGCATTACTAGATTTGACGGATAATACAGTGAGAGCCTGGGATCAGCAAACGGTCACATCAGTAGTTTTGCTAGACTTTTCTAAGGCGTTCGATACCATAAATCATCGTCTCTTAGTTAAAAAGTGTATATTTTTTGGTTTTTCTAATTCTATTAATATGGCTAATGGCTATGATTTCGTCTCCACAATGTCTCATTTCCTCCGGAGTACCACAAGTATCTGTACTTGGGCGGCTATTATTTATTTATAATCATTTTCAAAGTTCTAACCCAAACTGCTGTATGTGAGGTCAATGATGATCTAAAATCTATCAGTATCTACATATGCAAAGAATGATAATCTTCAGTTGAACCCGTCAAAATCGAAAGTCATTGTTTTTTCACTTAAACCCTTCAGAAGTGATGCGAAAGGAAACTTTAACATAATTTTAAATGGTGACTTTATTGAGAAGCGTGAATCAGTCAAAAACTTATGTATCATATTTGATGAATGTCTCAAATTCTTACCACATGCAAATAATATCAGCAAGAATTGTTTTTCCATTCTCCGCGAACTTCACCTAAATAAACTATCAAACAAAAAAAAATTGCGAATCTCGGATCATGTCTAAAATTACTTATTGTGATATAGTTTATATTCCATTTTTAGACTTCACTTCTCACATGCGTCTCCAAAAAATTCAAAATTCCTGTTGTAGATTGATCAATAACTTGAGAAAGTATAATCATATCAGCACTTATTTTAGAAACATGAAATGGTTGAGAGTAAAAGAACTATATGTATATATATTTATATATATATTTATATATATATATATATATATATATATATATATATACTTTTACTTACAGCAATTCCTCCATGTTTAAAGGATAAACTGATACCTATTCACACAAGAGATATTCGATTTTCGGAGGTACTCACAACGCCTCTCCACAAGAAAGCCTTGGTTCGCAAATGCTTTACATACAACGCAATTATTCTCTATAACGAACTTCCGCAAGACATAAGATTGATAAATCATGAAAAATTCAGAAAAAACACTAAAATATATATTTTGGATAAGTATACTTGAATTAGTTGTTCTTTCAACCTTCCACTTCGTAAAACTTTACAATGTGAAATTTTCTTCTAACTGTAAGACTGTTATAATTTATATCTTATACACAACTTATTTATACAGCTAACAATACTTTTGTTAACGTTGAAATATTCTATCCTTTTTGTCCTTTTATGTTGGGGTTAAGTGGCAGAATAGCGCTACGCTAAACTTCGCCCTTAATAAAGACAATTATTATTATTACTTTTACCACAATAACCCTCAATTCTCTTAAAATTGTAGCAAAATTTTAATGGTTCTCCCAGTGGACGATTATAAGCCATAGTTTTAGGTTTGTGTACTTATAGAGACATGTTAGGCTTGGCTTAATAGCAAAAGCATTCCAAAAATAGAAAAATGCAAACAAAAATCGTATACATATGAAATACAACACAGTACATATTAAAATAAGGATTGGCCAAGTTAAAATAAATAAATAAAATACAAAAACCATAAATCATACGCTACAGTTGAAAATGTATATTGGACTAATACAGAGCCTCACAGTTGAAATAGTTAAGCATCCTGATATTGCAGGATATCTAAGAAATATTCGTCGTACGCTCTGTGTCTTGATACAGCTTTAAGTTTATGTCAAAATAATGGCATTGGCAACGTTTTAAATGTGTTTGGCAATCTATCGAAAAGCCTAATACCCATTTGATTTGTGCTGACTTCTGTTCTTGAAAGCCTATGAGTAGGAATCGGAATCTGCAGGACAAACGAATTCAAGTACTTATTATGGCCATTTAATTTTTGAAACTCAGATAAGTTGGATTTCACATGTGTCAACAACTCAAAGATATATACTCGTATATATATATATGGTATTGGAAGTAATTAATGAGCTAAAAAAAAACATATACTGAGAAAATCTCTAAAGGGGTGGTAGATAAAAAAATATAAATAAAACTTCATTTTCACCCCCAATGAAATGATTCCCAAAATGATTTGTACCTCAAAAAATACTCTATTATAGAGACAATTTATGGGCTAGGTGGCATGGTGTGAGAAAGCTTCTGAAGGGGTGGTAGATAAAAAATATAATTAAAAATTCATTTTCACCCCCAAGGAAATGATTCCTCAAAAGAATACTCTATTATATAGACAATTTATAGGCTAGGTAGCATG